TTTATTAGAGCATAAGCTTATGCTCTAATAAATTTGTTAGTCTCTAAGGTGCCACAAGTACTCCTGTTCTTTTTGCGGATACAGACTAACACGGCTGCTACTCTGAAACCTGTCATTATGCAGGGAGAAGGGGGTAATCTGGCAGCTGATTGGGTTCCTCTCCCTCATTCACTCTCTTTGAAATGACTCTTCCGTGTTTAAGAATAGTGAGCTCATTGGGCATGGATCCAAGTTCTGAGTGAGCAGCCAACCCCTGGAAATAGGGGCTGCCAGGGTTCGAAAGTAGATTGGGTCATAGTCTTAATTGGAGGGATTGAGGAGAGTGACTAGCAGCTGGGAGATGGGGCTGGTCACAGCACTAATCTACAGGGAGTCCTGCCCTGATTCTCCTGCTGAAACCTCCTCAAGATGCTTCTGGAGTGAGAAGTGGCAGCTGAGTGAGATGGGAGGAGAGTGGGGGAGAAAACAAGAGTGAGACATAGGGGGACTGGAAACACTTCTCAAATGTCCCTCATTTTAAGGATCCTAACTCATGTTTAGCCCCAAAGTTACCTATAGGCCACACAACTTCACAAATTTGATTCCCCTCCCCCCCAATAATTGCTGACCATTATTACATGAGAAATAAAGAATCACAAAATGGAGGTTCCAGAAAGTGAATTATGCTGAGAAAGGATTGCTACAGCATGTTCGGTATCTGCATCATAACTATTTTGTGCCTCTCACTTAGGGTCTTCGTCACACACCACATCCCATGCTTGGGCTTTGGCAGGTCAAAAGGTACGGGACTGGGTTGGGGTCTGGGGCTAATCCTGGGAGAAGGGGGTGGGTGGAGACTAGGCCAGAGTAAAGGGTTTGTTTGGGGGCCAGCAGAAATTACACGTTGGCTAAACAAAGATGGATGCAGCTGAAAACGGGAATAATGAACCGGTTGGGGATAACCTGACACCAGGACTCCTCTCTTCTTATTGCTAATACCTGCAAGAGAAAACGTGATGTATGCTGGGCTTCCAAGAACACTGGGGTCCATTGTATCTGCCTGCCCTCAATAACAAGCACCAAAGCTCAGGGCCCCATTTTGAGGCAGTGGATAGTCAGTCTCTCGCTCTCTCGATTAAGCATTTCAAATCCGAGAACTTGTTTAAACTTCCCTCATCTGAATTGTCCCAGTCCAGAGCCTGGACGCTGACTGTGCAAATGACCAACCCACTACAAATGCTGCAGGAAGCAGCCCCTGGCAGAACCAGAGTCCTAGGAAATTGACATACCATTCATTCCTTTGCTGCTTTTTCCACACAAATCCAAACAGGGCATAGGAGACAGACGCTTTGGAGAAGCCAGTGTGGAAGAGACATAGAGGGCAAGACTGCAGGGGCTTCAGGAGGGCTGGCAGGAGGCAGTGGTTAGATTAGGTTAGACCACAAGGTATCAGAAGGCTCAAGAGGCTGTGGGACTGGCAGAGCTGTAGGTGGAAGAAGAGGGTAAGCTTTGGAATTTCAGGGTCTCATGGGAGGTCTTAGAGGCTGCAGGGTCTTGCTGGGAGGACTTAGAGGCAGTTGGTTTTAGGGGCTGGGGGATAATGGAGCAAAAGTCTGATGGGTTTTATTGTTTACACAGATTCATGTAAGGCCCAAGGAATGTGATGAATCTAATGTGCTGGGAGGGGCTGATAAGGAGATTTTTGGGGCCAAGAGAATAGGTAGAGGGAGAGAGCTGCAGCAGGCCAGAGCTAGTGGGAGGTGGGTGGTTTTTGAGGGCAAGAAAGGAGTGAAGGGAGGGACCAGTCCAGGTGTCAGGGAGAGTGGGGGGAAAGAGGCTGATGGTAGAAGGGTGGGGGACAAGCTATGCGTATAAGCAAGCTTCCAGGAGTAAGGGGCCAGTGGGTAGAGCACCAGAGCCAGGGGGAGACTGGTAAGGTCAGGCTGTAGGAGGCAATAGGGCCTGGTGGTTACAACAAGCACATAAATCTGGATGATTCTTTCTGAAAGGCAATGCAGCTGAGACTTGGGTCTGCCATATTAGAACCAGGTTCTATTCCTTATCTGTAAAATGGGGAGAATGAGACTTGCTTGTCTCACTGAGAAGAATGTGAAGCCTTGCTCATGAATAAGGGTTGTGAAATGCACAGAAATATAAACAGCCGAGAGTGAAAGAGGTATGACTTCAACTCCAGGAGTCCTGGCTCCCAGCTCTGTGCACCTTCACCAGGGTATTTTGTGGAGGAGGGTCTGTTTCCCACAATGTTTAGGGCAGGCAACAGACTGGGTGGGCAGTGGCAGGAGACCTGCCTGGGGAAGGATAGGCAGGCCAGAGAGTGGGTGCGGAAGGGTGATAGCTAGCAGGCCAGGTAAGAAAACATTCAATTTTTCTTGCTCTGAGTTGATGGAACAAGAGTAGAAATCAAATCCAGGGCTGATCCCTGGGCAAGAAGTTTCTGGTCCTTTGATTCTCTTTCTGTTGTAATTGTGGAAACAGCAGGAGGGTGTTGCAGGGGCTGAGGCGGAAGCTGTTGGGGGTCCAAGCCAATCAGTCTGTATCCAAGCTCCCTTCCCAGTGTCTGAGTTGCCCACATGGCTCCCAGCTACAGGCAGAGCCCTTCCTGAAGGCTTCTCTGCTTTTACATTTTGCTTTTGGAACTGAGATCTTCCCAGCTTCTTCTTGTTTTTCTGCTCACGTTCTGGAAGGTGTGAGAGCACATAGTAGTGAAGGTGCTGGCCCTTTAAGAAGTCCTGCTGGCCTGAGTGTCTTGAGACAATAGCCATTATCACTTTAGCTTTGGAAGTGACCCCTGAATCTGCACTCCTTTCATCTTGGATACAAGAGCACTTGAGGATGGACTATTTCCTGGTGGGGGAGGGGAGGAGCTGAGACCCCTTCACACAAGCCAAAGCCAATCACTCCAGATGGTTCACTCCAGATCTGAAACCAGTTCCAGTCTGAATGTGGGACCCAGCTGAGAAAGTGGAGCCTGCTGCGCTTCCTGCTGCAGGATTTAAATGTCCAGGGAACTGCCTTGCAGAGGGAGCAAGGCAAGCAGCAGCCGCCGGGGATTGGCTGGTGTGAGCTCTAGTGCTCTGCCCAACAAGCAAGGTGAGTCCAGGGGAGATTCCCAAAGCCCAGCCCTGGCTCAGGAGGGAATCTTCATTCCAAGGGTGAAAGCCAGGCGTGGGCCGGACTGCAGGAAGCGCAGCCCAGGTCAGCAGGGTCCAAACGCTTCGGGCTTGAGTAGAGGGGGAAGCTGTGCAATCACCCCCGGACGCGGAGCAGCTGCAGGGTGGTGCCCAGGGGGCTGCGGCGGCTACCAGGGAAGTCCCTGCCTCACCCACTCTCTCTATTCCCTCCTCCCCATAACTCCCCGCCGGCCCCAAGCCCTGCTCTGGAGCCGCCACCTCCCCATGCGAACTGGGCCTCCCAGGGCAGTTTCACTGGCTTCTCACTCTCCTCTTGGGGGATGGGGCCTCTCAGCCCATCTCTGGAACGGAGCGTGAGGAACCTTTGTATTGTCTCTCCATGTGGACTTTGCCCCAGGACATAATTGTCCAGAAAATGCCTTTCCTCCTTTCAAGGACAATAAACCCGGTTTCTTCCCCCCAACCCCCCATACATAGTTCCTCCTTCCCCCTCCCCCAGTGCCTTCTGGCCATTTGAAACCCCTGCATGTCTGAGGGTAAAAAGAGCCCCACTAGTCACACTTTGTCTCCCTTAAATTCCACCTCCCCACACACACGAACTTCCCTGTGCTGCAGCAGGGCCAGGGAGCTACCAGCAGAGGGAACCCACAATGCTAGTCACAGGGCTGTGCTGTCATCCATGACATCACAAATAAAGCTGCCCATGAATTGGAGTAGAGCCTTCCACATCTAGGGCCCAGCTTCCAATCTGGACCCATATGGGGCTAATGGTGCAGAGGGAACTGGCTGGTTTAGGGAATGGGACACAGGGCCTCCCACCTTCTCTGGAGTTTCAGTTTGACCCCAGGACATACATGAGATATTAGTGGATTTTTCAGACCCTTCCTGAGCCCATCTATCTTCTAGTGAGCAAGGGAGCTGAAGCCATCAATATCTGTGTAGCATCGGAACTTTGATTCTTTTTTTTTTTTTGGTCAAGGCTTCTAGTCTTCATGGCTGTGAGAAACTTTCCAAACATGATGTCATTTTCCTGGGCTTGCAGGCAGCTCCAGTGCTTTCACTGCTGCTTAGAGCTTACCCAAGCATCCATAAAGGGAAGTTCACAAGGCTCTGTTCAGCTTCACTGCAGCTGTGGGCAGCCCTGATGCCTAGACTACAAACATGGCTTTGACACAGTGTAATACATTTAAAGGGCTTTTCACTATCTCAGTTAAGCTAACACAAATGGAAAAATGCACCAACTGAGTATTGGGTCAAATTCACATTGTTGCTGTTTGAGGAACTGAAGGCGTTTATGGGTGTGTTAAGATGAATGGGGCAGCTCACACCTTAGAGCTATTGTGTCGTGCTGCTGGAGGACTCAGGTCTTGTCTAAACTAGAAAGTTTTGCCACTTTACTGGGACAGTTAAAGTCTCCACGCCCCGCTCCCACCCCCAAACCAGGTCTGAGTCAGACATAACTATCAGGCCTAGTCTACACTAGAAAATTTTATACCCGTATAACAGTGTTGTGGTTGGGGGGGTGGGGGGGAGGTGACTTTTATATCTATTCTATTATAGCCCTAGTGTGACTGCAGTTATGCTGGTATAAGGTTCCTTATATCAGTAAAACATATTTCCCCTCCCAAATTGGAATAAGTTGCACAAGTATAAGTACCTTTATACCACTATAATTGTATCCGCAAGAACGGGATTGTTTTGTGTTTTTTACTATCCTGCTATCCTTAAAACGACAAAGCTATCTAGTATAGACAAGCCCTTTACACTCATGTTTTCAAGCATCTCTCTATAACCATAAGGGATGGAAATGCTATTTTTGCCCTTGAAATGAAAGCTGAGAGTCTGTTGTGGTCATGTGACTCCCAGGGATGACAATCTAGGCACATGCTTATTGTGTCTGTGCCTTAATTCAGCTCTGAGTAGAATAGCAAAGATTCCTTCGTCCCCCAGCATCCAGGAGGCTTTAGGGAAGGGTGGAATAGTAGACCCTTCCCCTAATGGCTCTGGGTAGGGTGTGGAAAGAAAGCTGCTTCTCCTCTTCCTGCTGCAAAGGAGTGGGCAGTGGCTTCAAATTCATGAGATGCCTACTAGCCAGAAACTAATATGAAAGCTACAGCCCCTGACCAGGGTTTGGGATAGCACCCTAGTGGGAATTCCTGCATGTGCCTCCAGCCCAGCAACTGGAGGCAGGGCTTCTCACCATGCCCCTGGACCTCCCTGCTGGCCACATCACAGGCTTTTGTGAGCCTCTGGTATTAGGTGTCTGGGCTCCAGGATTTGAGGAATAGGCTATGAAGCTTCACCTCTAGGTCATAGGTTCAAATGTGATGTTGGCCAGTGGTGGTGTATCCCTGGGCTACCCAGCCAGCTGGCACTATGTGTAATGAGCCTGTGACTGAAGTACGGTGCCTAGAGGAGAGGTGCCCAAATCACAAGTGGCCGCCTTGTTGCCAAAGCAAAGGGGCCAAGGAGTCGGACCTTGGGGACTAGTCTCCACGGAGGAGGGCTGGCCACATCTAGAAGGAGGTGGTTGGTGCTGGGAGCTTGCTTTGGTAGAGCTGCTTTGGGGATGAAACCAAGCCCATTGTTTCAAAGCTGGCAATCCAGCACCTTGGGGCAGCTCCAAGCTCCACTCTTCCACCACCCTAGCCCAGTCCTGCTGGATCCCTGTGCTGCCTGAAGCAAGGGGTCTGCATTTGGGATCCATGCAGCAGCCCTTGGCTCAGACTGTCAGCAGCAGGAGTTGGACGTGGTGTGGGAGCAGCAAGCTTAGCCCTGAGGAGTAGGGTTAAAGCGGTGGTTCTCCCCCTTGTCCATACCGTGACCTTGTGTTACTAGAGAAAAAGGTTTGGGACACCCCTTCCATTTCATCATAAGGAAGAGAGGCTGTTCATGACCCCCAAATCAACAACTCACAGTGAGAGCATCTTACTTGGTCTCTTACTCCCTGGGCTGGGA